ATCAACATTAGCTCATCAAAAGCTAACTTATACTAGTACAGGCTCTACAATCACCAAGGACTTATCTAAGACATGTCAACAGATTTATACTGAGGAAAAACAGAGGATAGGAAGTATTTTAAGCGAAGAACATGAAAGACTATCGATCTGTGTTTAATACAGCCAAGTATGCGACTCTTAAAGTAACGTCTCGTCAAACATAAATTACTTCTTTCACAATATTATTAAATTCTACTATTTTTAAGTACATTGCTTGTTTGATTATATTTCATTAAAGGAAAACTTTTTTGGCTGTTGTCTTTAATAGTAATATTAATTTCATTAGGGTTCAATATCATTTACTGATTGTGATATACCACAGGAAGCCCATGTAAACGATCGCTGATCGTCTAGTTCCTTATAGCTTACCTTGTAATATTTTTTTGTTTGCGGAGAAATTTACTCATCACGATATGTCTTGGTTTGTTGCGATGTTTTTCATTCAATCTTTTTCAACTTCTATCACTGAGCTCACATAGGCATCCAGGCAAAATTCTTCGATTACACTCTGAGTGCTCAGCATCCTTTTCTCCGGGATCTTCCCCGATACGTGCGACTTTTGTCTTCAACGTGAAACCCTCTCTCTCCCGCCAATCCACCTAAACAACTGCCGTCCTGCGCATACTCAGGAGTGAAGTAATTATCACGTGGTCTATCATATGAATGGCACATTCGGGATGCCTGTTTTCCGGTTGTCACGGGATCTATCTACCATGGCTGATAAGTGGTCTTGCTACCATTTACTCGTATTTATCTTAACATTTATGAGGTAAGGTGTAGTCCTTTATTTAATTTTAGATTATTAGAGCATTTTTGTCTACAGAGMAATGATAGACGTTTTCTAAATAGCCCGTTATCTATTCGATTCTGCCTCCGCTAGCCCGGTCCATATACTTAAGACTTATTTGCTGCTCCTTTTTGCCCTTTCCCAAAATTATTCCAGTTCTCTCGAGGAGGTTTTCAGCCTACTACCACTTGAATTTGTAAATTGAACGTCTTGGACTGTATAAAACTTTGAAACTTACCAGACGTTAACATTTGAAAAAGTTGAAATCACTCTAAAAGTTTGATTTTTAAAACAATCAAGTCAAATCATTATTTCAACTTAGACTATTAAAATAATTTAGTAGTGATTAAATCAACAACAATGGCTTTCTTATAATACTTTCATTTTTAAAATAACAACTTTTCTAAGTTACCTGAAGACGGGACGTTATTTTAAATATCTTTCATTGTTATTTTACAAATCAAACTTTTAGAGTGCTATTTTTCAAAAGATAAATTTAATAAGAACTACAGCTATTTGCAATAATTCTGACCCACCTATGCTAATATTTATATATCTCAAAGTAGCTTTAGAAATYATGGGATACCATTGCTGATATTTTTGTGATGAAAAGCCTTATAGTGCCTCTCATCACTATGTTATCAGGCTTGAGTGAAAGAGTTGTAACCATCTTCAGCAGCCCTACCCATCCCCCGACATGTTTGCATTCAAAAGCCCTACCCAGCTCCCCTACGCATTTATATCGGTAACTTAAAAACACGTAAGGAGATCTCGTCTCAGTGTATYAGAGATTTATCAGAGTGATTTCGAGGGAAAAAGCAATTGCTGTTCTTCATGTGCTTTCTCTTACTYGTGTGTTGCTTCGAGGGTGAGTTGTGAGTTTTATACAATGTATTCAAACTCTTTTATGTCTAGAACATGCTAGAACTAGGYGCAACTTATATGCATTTGTAAATTTGGTATTTCTAAAAGAATTGTTCTGATTTTTGGGGCACTTTATGTCTTTGTTTGCCAACAAAAGCTTGATTGCATCASTTGGCTTATTACATAACATCAGACCTGACCGCATGACATTCTTCAATTACCTTAGGGGAATAATTAAGCCCAGAAATGGGGCTCAGAACTCGTTTGGCAGACCAAATATCACAGCAGTCTCTTGGAAGCTTTTCACAAATTCACAGCAATTCTAGCTTAAAAGCAGTCACTTGAATACATGGTTGTTTTTAGGGTAATGTCTGCAACAGTCACTATTAATAAAATATCTAAGGAGGGAAAGGAGGTATCTGGTGTTTTTCACATACATAGTGTGAGGGCCCCCTTGAGCTTAATTATAGCAAAGTTTGATCCACCTAGCTTG